GGCATTCATTCATTTATTGTACTATCAAACTTTTTTATGATCAAATCCCGACTGTAAATAAATGTCACTTGAGTTAATCGATAATCTACGAGTCGGAGATTGAATATAAGATATTACGATATATTATATTATGATATTATATTATATTACGATATATTATATTATGATATTATATTATGATATTATATTATGATAATAAAGGCGACGAATGGAATTATTTTCCGATTCATTAAATTTGAGATTTCAAGTGTTTTTTCTTTTGGATTAAGTAGGTTTCAGACTAATACATTTCATATACTGTACAGCGTGTACATTTTGAAAAAGTAATTCATTATATAATTCATTCAAGTTTCAAAGTTCATAATGATTCTTTAAATATTTCTAAATGCGCATTTCGTTAACCGCTTGAGAACGCTTTTATCAAGAAGGTTAGAAAGAGCTTGCACCGCCACACATACATGCCGGCAAAATCCGATAAATTATAAACCCAAAAAAAAAAAAAAAAAAACAACAATAAATTCTGTTTATAAAAATGAATCAAAAATAAAATTTTGCAGATATATTACATATAACTACAAGAATATATGTTATTCATTAGAATAAAGATTAAAATTTTTGAGATATTGATAGGAGTTTTTCCAGAATTTATTGGTATTAAACTTGGAATTTGCCAGCAATTTCACGGTGATCTTATATAAGTGATATAAATAAATAAATATTGGTAAAATATATAACGAATAAATAAAAATAAATAAATATTAAAATTTATCACATATAATCTAATAATCACCAATATATATTTTAAATTAAATTTATCAATATATGCGTATCACCTAATAATCGATAGGAAATCACCTGATGTTACTCCAATTTAAAAATATAAATACATTAGTATGGTTCGCGTCTTAAAAAAAAGAGAGAAAAGATTTCTTCGCCCCGTATTCCCGATGCCTTACTATTACGTAGAACCTTATTACCATGCAATGGATGAGTCACTAAATGCTGATATTTCCAGCATTAATAGTTCACCAATTTTATTAGATAATGAATCTGGTAATGTGACAAATTCCATTGAAACCACTTCGGGGTTCCAAGATCATTCTCAACAGTCCTTATTTATAAAACCTCCTTTTCCTCCAACAATAAACATCGATGACTTGGTTACATCTAAACCGAATGGTGATAAGCCTTCAAAATCAAGTAATGCCTTCATCATTTATCGTAAGGTCTATGTTAAAGAACTTCACTCACGGGGAGTAAACCTTCAAATGACTCAAATATCACCTATGGTATCTGAGTCTTGGAAACAAGAACCTGAAATTGTAAAGCAAGAATATAAAAAGCTAGCGGAAGCAGCAAAAAAAAGATATAAAGAAATTTGGCCTTCAAAACCAAGACGTCGTCATCAAAGAAGGCAACAACCACAGTTACCGATGAACCGGCCATTACATTCTCATTCTATTGAATCTTCAAACTCGATCCAGACTTATTCATCAAATGAATCTTTATCTTCTACACCTGCAATAGAATTAAGAGAATCTTGGAATTTAATATCTCCTTCTTACCTAACACTTCAAAATTCCTCATATGGTTCTTCATCAATAGTAGATCAATTATATTATGATTCAAATGCTGCTTCCTCTCGCTCCACCATTGATAACTCTTTAAATGTCCGTAATCAAAATATTTTAACTCCACCTGAAGAAAATCCTAATTCACCAAATTCAACTTTAACTCATTTGACGCCGCCAAATGGACGCCATACAAGTGAAATTAGCTTGCCTGAATTAACTGATGGAATAAGTTCTTTACAAGATTACCATCGAGTTATGACTAATTGGCATGAAGACTTGAAACGTCATGATATTCACCCGTATCAATCTTTTGATGCCGCTAGAAGCGTTCCTTTTTTCACTTTTAATTTAGTCTAATGGTGGTATGATAAATTAGGACATTTATTTTTGCTAAATTAGGACATATAAGTATTTTATGAACCCTGAA